CTGTTCACCTTCAAAATTGGAGGAGTCTGAATGTCCTTCCAGCCAAGCTTTCCGGCTATACTTTGTAGTGACCAGCATGCGGTACGCCGAGCGTACTGTAAAAACTCCATTCTTTTCATGTGCCCACGACCAAAAATCGTCTGTTTGTTGTGTTTTTCTACAAACAGTCAATGTAGCGCAAAATGGAACTGAACACTAGACCTTTAGCTCGTGTGTGCACATAGCTAGCCACTTTACCTAATGACCATTTTATGAATACAAAGCAGCGATAAACGTTAGAGAGCTAAGCGGCATCGGCAGACCCCGAACATTTTTTTTAATTTTCGAAGCCAAACATTTTCAAAAATCACAAACAGATTTAAAATTTTGAATATTTTTTAAAAACTCAAACATGTTTTGAAGCTCCCAAACAAAAAATTAGAATGTGAATAATTTTTAAACCCCTGAACAAAAAAATAAAATCCCGAACAATTTTTGAAAATGCCAACAATTTTTGTTAGTAAACATAAAGGGAAATATTTTTGGAAACTAAAAAAAATTCAATGCAAACACGAGCTAAAGAGAACATTTTTTTCAAAATCATGAACATTTTTTGAATATGTGATAAAACAAAAACATTTTTTGAAACTCCCAAACAAAATTGAAAAACACAAGCCAATTTTTCAATATGTGAACAGTTCTGGAAAAAGAGAACATTTTGATTTTTTTTAATCATGAACATTTTTTTAAAAATTCTAAACATTCTTTTTAATAAATAAACATGAGAAAAGGAAAAGGAGAATTAAATATAAGAAACCTGTTTAGGAACCTTTAACGGGTAAACCGGCTGAGAACGTTGTAGAAGGTTCTCGAAACCAGAACTGAAAGCTGTACGTATGTACATATGGGCCGACCCAAAAATCGCTCGTACATGGGATACGTTGATTGTTTAACGCAGTATGCCTCAAATAGGGGTTTTCCAGCCTCTTGGCCCACGTAGGTGATTGGCTCTCTACGGCCTATAATTGAAAAAAAAAGTTGACCTGGCCCCTTGAGTGAACTTCCCAGTGCGTTTTTTTTTTGGAATCAATGAGCATTATTGATCAAAGATCAGTATTACAATCTTGCGGTAAAATGTCAGCAAGGAAAGGAAGGGTATAATTAAGCCTAAGCATCTACGCCTAGACTCGCTCGCTCTTTAGCACAAAGATGCGCCGCGGCATTAGCATCCCTCCCAATAAAGCTCAAGGTAAAACGAGAGAAACCAGCACTGATCTCCATGATGTCATGCAGAATATACTTCCTATCAATGCTCTCTTGTAGTTGCTGGACCGCCACAAATAATTATCTATGCGTGGACGGACAAAAGATTTAGTACCACCTCAGATTTCGGTACCAAAGAAAATAATTGCATGTGGTGAATGGAACAAAAAGTCGGAGAAACGCAGCTGGTAGGCATAGATGAAGCGGGGCAACAGACGGGCACACGGGATAGGCGACGTGCACGTTGGCGCCAAATACGTAGAGCCAAGCGAGAGCACGGGCGACAAATCCACGCAGCGCAAAGGAACGCTGCCGCAGCCCATAGTACGATCCAATGCTCGACCGCGACGTCCCCGTCCGCTATCCTGGACGCGCGAGTCGAGCCGAGAGGAAGAAAGCCAAGCTTCTTCCGCCTCATCTCACCGTCGGGACAACACGTCAACATATAGTCCCTCTTTGATTCGCAGGATTTTCAAATTGTAGGAATAGGAAAAGTATAGGGTTGGAGTGGCATACACACATGAATCCTACAGGATTAGCATGAAGTGTTTGATGGCACAGGAAAAACAAAGGAATTGTAAAAGGAGGTTGGAGTGGATGTTAGATTTCCTATGAAATATAGTACAAAAAATTTCATAGAAAAAATTCCTATGGGATCCAATCCTATGAATCAAAGAACTAACATAGAAAAAATTCTTAAGGATTCCAATCCTCCAGAAATCCTATAGAATTCCTTTGAATCAAAGGAGCCCTTACTGTTCCCTTCAAGTGTTCCCCGCCTCGCCCGCTTTCCTTGACCCACTGACCACCCGTGGACCGCCCAGCGCCCCAGGGCCCGGCCCCCGGCCGCCCGATCAGGATCCCACGGCCCTGCACTAACCCCGACGGGTCGACGACCTCTTCTCCCTATTTGTACATCGGACCGGCCTCTGCTCTCGTCCCTCCCGAATAACCAACTACTGCCTCCGCCCGCTCGCCGCACCTACCCTACCGCGAGCGTCAGAGCCGCACGACCGCCGCGGCCAAAGAGAGCTTGCTTGCTTGGCCCGCTCCGATGGCCCGCGACGGCGCGTCGGCGGAGCGGCGCCGGGTGGCGCTGCGGGTGCTGCTCGCGCGCGGCGAGGGGTCCTCGTCCTCCTCCTCTCCCCCGCCGCAGGGGCCCGAGGAGGAGGCGCGCCGGGGCAAGCAGCAGTGGCTCGCGCTGCGCCTGCGCGACCTCGGCTGCGCGTCCGCCGCCGCGTCCCGGGCCCACGCGCCCGTCGCCGCCTCGGCCTCCGTGCGCCCGGCCCCGGACGCGTTGGAGGAGGGGGAGGAGCAAGAGGAGGAGGAGTGGCGCGGGGCCCGGCAGCAGCGGCGGCGGAGGCGGAGGGAGAGGAGGGGCGCTGGCACGGCCGGAGGGGTCGCCGGGGACGTGTGGTGCACCTGCACCCCGGGGATTCCCTTCGCCGCCGAGGCGTCCTCGGTCGACTGCGTCGTCGCGCGCCACCACCACACGGCTGTCCCGGGCCGCCGCGGGGACGGGGAGAGGCGACACAGGGAGGTTTGTGCCGGCTTCTCCTTGCTCCTGGTTGATTTTCAGATATGCAGTTGGCTAGTTTGTGTAGCTGAAACTTTGAACGAATTGAAGTCCAACTGAATCTCCATCTCGTTCTGTCGAATTGACTTCTGATTTCCTGATGCCAGAGGACCGCCGAGCAGCGGGCGCGCAGGGTCACCATGCGGGAGCACATATCCTCCTCCTTCATGGACTCGCCGCCGCGCTTCCACATGCCCTTCCACGACGCCGACCTCCTGCATTCAGGCCGCCACCGCCACGCCCACCCCTACGACAGGACCGACGAAGAGGTACACTCCAACACCTGCTCCATTCCACGCATCATTTCATCCCCCCCACCCTGTGAACCACGCCGACAAAACCTCACCTCACAGCACTTCCATCCAGCATTCATTTCATCAATGTTGGTACACGATAGGTCGGTCCTCCACATTCCTCAAGAATCATTCCGATTGGGCAAATCTCATGGCAGCCATCGTAGGTGGTTTCAGACTATCAGGGGGTCCATGCTCAATCTTATACTACTCTACTAGCAGCCATCATATGTTGTAGCCCATGGTCCATGCTGATTTGGCATTTTTGTTCGGATGCCATGTACTCACTCACATGGTACCATCCTACAAAACGATCCTCACACGTTCTATTATACTGGAGTGGTTGGTTGCAGCTCTAGGATTGGTACAGTATGGTAGTTTATCACCCCTGGCTGGTTGTAGTTATGTTTATACGACACGCAACGCAGGCACGCGGCGGATTTGATGGAGGCACATGAGAGCAGGTGATGGTGGTAGATATGTTAGGTGTCGAGGCAGAGAGCCCTTTGAGTGTAGATGCAGATTTCCATTTCCTTTCCCTGCTGTGTTTACACACACAGATGATGAATCATTGTGCTGGGCTGAACAACCATGTTGCTGATTCTTTTGGTTAACTAGTTGCCATGTTTGTTTAATGTGATATTTTAGAATGGGGTGAGCGCGATGAAGGATTCGAATGCCTGAGCAAGGATAATAAGAATCTGACCTCCTTCAAGTGGACTTTAGGATATGAACTGGCATGTTTGTGAGTCAAAAGGCGGCATTCGGTGGCAGTTTTGACTTTGGGTTCTGCACTTAAGATAATACCTAGTTGCTCTTGATCAGAGAACTGTACTATTTTTTGCTAGTTTCCTGCTCATGGAGCACAATGCTGCTGTGCCACTTTAGTGCTGATCAGTTCTGAAGTTGTTTTTCATCTGTTCTACACTAGTTGTTGGCATCAGGTCATTTGATAGGTTGTTCCAGTTCACTACTGCCACAAGCTCTTTAGATCCCCTGAATACTTCTGCTAATGGATATATGTGGCATGCACTTTGAATCCATGTTATTTGTTACTACTATATAACATTCAGTATTATCCTTTACAACATTCAGATAATGATGTTTCGAACGAGACTACTGTTGGGAAGAATGGGCATGTATGATCAATATCAGGATTGGCGCCTTGACGTTGATAACATGAATTACGAGGTACCCCCCCTTCTGCTGCCCATCATCTGCAACAGATTTAAGATTGCACACCACTATCTTTACTTAATAAAGAACATTGTTGCATCATTTGACAGGAGCTACTTGCACTCGAGGACAGGATCGGCTATGTAAGCACAGGGCTGCGCGAAGACGAGATCGTTCGCGGCCTTAGGGTGGGCAAACACCTGCCGTTCGACCGCAAGCATTTCTCAACAGAGACGGAGCGGAGCTGCAGCATTTGTCAAGTATGACGACGAACTTGCTCCTTTCGATTCAGTCCCCATGTCACATCGGCATCGGCTCTTCACAAGTTAACATGAACTTACAAACCATTGCAATTTTTCAGGAAGAGTTTGAAGCGAGTGAGGAGATAGGGAGGCTGAGCTGCGGCCACGGCTACCATGTGCACTGCATCAAGCAGTGGCTCTCCCGGAAGAACGCCTGCCCACTTTGCAAGACCGCCGTCTCAAAACCATGAGATAGATCATACGTAGATCCATACGCCGCCCAGTTTCTTTTTCTCTGGTATAATACATGTATTCATATCGTATCTGAAAGGTGTTTGTTCTTGTGCGTAGTTGTACTTGTACAGGGCCCTCTACCGCTCTGCATATGCACATTGTTGATGTAAAAAAGATACACAGGCACACATGCATATAGAAATGATATTGTCCGCGTCGTCTTGAATTGCGTCTCAGTCATGGCCTCGTGCATTTCCCGCCGACGAGCTTCAGATAGCTTCTTATGGCGAGCGTCTGCGCCCGCGGGTGCCGTGCCAAAGGTGACGGCGGCGGCGATGGCGTCCTCCTTGATGTCGCCGCCGACGAGCCTTTCACCATCGCGGCTCGCCTCGACGTGTGTGCGCGCTGCAGGCCGTCATGCGGCCTCCGCTGCCCCGCCGCGCTCTCATCGTCCACGGCCCCGAGCTCCCTCTCGATCGCCTCGGCCCGCATGATCATCTCCTTCTCGCCGGCCCGCCGCGCCTCCACCCACGCCTCGGCCGCCGCCACCTTCTTGTCGGCGACCGCGCGGACCACCTCGGCGCGGCCGGTCAGGTACTCGTACTCGAACCTCGGGAGCGTCACGTTCCCGGACCTCCGCGGCGCCATGGACGCCCTCTCCATCGCCGCACCCTCCACGGCGGCCCTCAGCCTCTCCGTCGCCGCGGCCTCCGACGCCCTCGCCGCCTCCAGCTCCCTGATCGAGCCCCTGATCCTCTGCTCGGCGGCGGCGATCTCGGCGTCCACGCTGTCCGCGTCGTCCTGGACGCACTGGCCCTCCTGCTCCATCAGCGCCTTCTCCTTCTCCGCCGCCTCCGTCTCCTCCTCCAGCTGCCGCAGCGTCGCCTCCAGGTCCGCGAGGATCTCGCCGGCCATCTCGTCGGCGGCCGTGACGGCGCCCAGGCGGCACTTGGCGTCGCGCAGCGCGGCTTCCAGCTGCCGCACCTGCGCGCCGGCCTTCTTCTCCTGCTCCTCCAGCCGGCCGATCTCCTCGGCCAGCCGCGCCGCCTCCGTGCGCGTGCGCTCCATGGACGCCGTGAACTGGAGGCTCTCTCCCTTGGCGGACTCGAGCTCCGCCCGCGCCATGTCCAGCTTGGCCTCCGCCGCCTGTAGCGACGGCGAGCTGTCGTGCCCCTCGTCGGTGATCTCCGAGTCCGAGGAGTGGCCGAAGCCGTGGCGGAGTCGCCTGTCGTCGGAGCTCGCCGCGGTGAGCCACGCCTCGAGCTCGCTCGACACGCTCTGGCGGCCCATGATCGCACCTCTCTGCAGCCCCATGGTCGGCGGCGTCCACCTCGTGACCTCCTCCTCCGTCTCCCTGGTAGACGACCGGCCGGCTCCGGTGAGCTCAAAGGCGACGCGCACCTCCTTCGCTTCGTGGTCGGCATCAGGTCGTTCCTTCGCGCCGTGGGCGACGACCGAACCAGGGCTCCTCGACGACGCGTCCTCCTCGGCCATGGCCATGCCGCCCTTGGCCTCCCTCGTGGCCTTCACCTCGCGCTGCAGCTCCCGCAGCTCCCTCTTGACGCGGTCCAGCTCCCGCATCACCTCGGCGTACGTGGTGCCGCCGCTAGACTCCAGCGGCCGAGCACCACCGCCGGGCGCCTCGACGACGACGTTCGCGCGCGGTCCTTTGAGGAGCTCCGACGTGCGAGACCCCTGCCGCTCCAGCTGCTTCTTGGCCACGACCGCCGGCGGCTCAAGCTCCGCGGCAGCGACGGGGCGCGCCCTCTCCTTGTCCGGCCCGTGCGACCCCGCCGCCTTGGCGTCGGCCTGCTCCACCAGCTGCTCCAGCGTCTTGCCCGCGAACAGCTCAGGACCCACCCGCGCCTTCTCCTTCTCCCTCTCCGGCGTGGCGGGCGGACGCCGGTGCGGCAGCCTGTCAGTGCCGGACCCGGACCTGGCCACCTGCTTGACATCATACGACACATTCTGCAGTCACCACGGTCGACGTCAGTACACCAAGAACGGCAAAGACAAAGCCTCTGAGGGCAACTCTGTCTACCTTGACGACCTTGGGCAGGGTGGCTCGCCGCCGGGGCTTGCCGCGGCGCCGCACGTCGATGCTCTGGCTCTGGCTCTGGCCGAAGATGCTCATGCCGTCGCCCACCGACACCGACTCGTTGCCGCCGTAGCCCCGCGCCGTTCGGATCCTCGCGCCCTCCATTGCCGCTATAGTTTCCTTGAACGAATGGATTCCAGGTTAAATACGTTCTTGCTGGTGCGTGGTGACAAACCGAGGCATGGCAACTCCAAGCCTTCCTTCGCGCCAGCTCGCCACAGCCTCGCTCCTGAAAGCGGCGTGAATGTGATTGGCCGGGGTTTGTCTCCAGCTCGGGGGGGTGGGGTGGGGTGGGGTGGGGGGTTTCTCGTGGAGTCAGACGACAGTGTGCAGCTGCGGTGATTTTTTACATGAAAATGATGCTATTTTACATTGGTGACAGCGTCTAAACATGGAGTTTTCGATGGTCCGGAAGAACATGGGAGTTCTCTGCTCTTCCTGGTCCAATGACATCAGGTGGAGAGAACTAGATTGCGTTTGGAAATGAAGCAGCTCGGGACAAATTAGCAATCTGTCGTAGTTCACAAAGATGAATTGAATTGGCAAATTCGCATCTCGGTCGAAGAGTTTCGTATGGCTTTTCAGTTTGGCATACCGTTTAAAATTTCAAGTGACAGTGAATCTATGTTGCCAGACAGACCAGAGTACTTTCCAATGCGGAAAAGACCAATATGCTACCAAATTATTATGCTTCATCGCATAAGAAATTGAACAAGCTTCGGAGAAAAACATGTCATGCCTCCAAATGTTAATTGCGTTGGTCGCTAAATTTAGCTGCGTCGATAGAGTTCTCCAGCTGACTGCTGAGCAAGATACAATGATGCCCTGCACACGCAACAATATTTCCTCTTCCTCCATGTGTTCATACATCATATCTTCTAGAATGCACACTCCAAGTTGGTTCTAAAATACAGAATTGAACTTAGGTGTGGACAGGCGATGAAGGACAAAACCAGGGCCATTGGCAGCTATGCTCCCAGTAATCTATTGTATACAGCAGGTTAAGACAAGCGGTGAAAAATCAAATGCATCAGATGATCAGATTGCACTGTGGGCTGAAGCTACAACAATGAACACCAAAAATAATGTACAAAGGAGGTCAAAGGAAATACGGGACCGCACTTCTCGGCCCTCGCATTTGGTTGTTCTCGTCCGTCTCTGTGAAGATCTTGACATCTCGTTCCTGCCAACGGAGTTATAAGGCTCGATAAAATTATGAAAATACAAAAGGTGGCATAATCAGTCCCCACAAAAAATGACATAACAAATCTCCTTTTTTAAGATAATAACTGAAAAACATGGTATGCATAAAACACAGGAGTATCAGGTACTGCAACATTAGGGAATTGAATGGAGATTGTTGTAATTATTATGCTGTCTACTTCTCTTTATCAAGGAAAGATAGAAGGCACCAGTTCATTTGTTACCAACCAAGCCACATTCGCCTGTTTATTGGTAAGTCTACAGCTTGGAAGCTGGGATGGTATGTTCCTTCTCAGAATCTCAGGTCATATTAACTTGCTTACTCTGGGCTAACTTCTTTTCAAGACTCTTATTACTGTTAGTTTGTTAATATCAAGAGTGCACAGAAATACAGGAGCGACTTCATCAATCATAACAGGAACTGTTGCAACTTGCGCTGCAATGCTACTATGTAACAAGGATCAAAACAGCCTGAAAATCAAATCGCAGCTTCTGTTCTCTATCTGGATATGCCATCAGGAGCTCCGGAGTTCATACACAAAACAGTGAAATTATCACTATATACCTCACTGATAGACTCAAGAAGGTTTCCAATGGAACCTATCAAAGCCTGAGTAGGAACGACTTCTTGAAAGTTTTGAAGCCAATAAAGCATGTCTAGCAAATTATCGCAGGCGAAGACAGCAGTAGGCATAACGTACATAAAACACAATTGAAGAACTAAGTCTGGTAGTGATGATGGTGTGACCTACCATAGTTTCGCTGAAGCTTAGTATAGAAGCAACATTCCCACATCTGTAACAATAATTAGGTGCAGACCACACCTGGAAAAAGTACACAAATAAACAGTGAGCATCTGGAACTACATGCAAGTTCTCGGACAATTCGACATGTGTAAATGGAGAGCTTACAGTTACAAGACCCTTGTCTGGGAACATGTACTTTAGGCCTTCCTGGACTAGTTGATGAGCCCGACAAACTAACTCAAGATTGTTAACATGGTTAAACTGCATCAGAGCAACAAGCATCAGTAAAAACCTTATATGGAGACAACCTGAAATGAAAAGAGCAATATGCCATACCTCGGTTGTCACCCGTGATCCAAAAAGCCAACCTGCTCCACGGGGACTAACACCCCATGTCTCTATCTCCTCTGGGTCACTCCACATCAGATCACAAAAAGGTCCTTCATGGGGAATTTCGCAGTTGCGATCAATTGTCCGCATCTGGACACAACAAATACATTTGAAATTACTCATGAGATTTCCAATTTTGGTTTGGTATTTCACTGGGCACTGTCTTAAACAATCCAGTCTACTCAAAGGGACATTGGATTGAGCTAATTGAATACATGAAGTTCACAAATTAATTTGACACATGAAATGTGGATAACTATATCTTAAATTATGATTTCACCACAGCAGAGTAAATGAAAGCATCATTTCAGGAATATGAGCCAAAAGTGAATAGAATGACTAACCTGATCAACTGTACGTATATCAGGTGAAAGGCCACCATGAACACAGAGGACCTAAATATTTCAGTATGTCACTAAGTATGACTTAGCATCATGTGAACCTAGGACTTAACATGTTTACTCAAAGTAACTTACTGTGCCATTAATGATCGCCGAAAGAGTAAGGTAGTCAAAAACATCAGTGCAATACCGCCATGCATTCGCATTCCCGTACTTCCTCTGACACTCGTCATAAAAACCATAAACCTAAAAAAAGATACAAACCTTAGGATACACACATGACAGATTGGTTTAGTTGCAGATAGTACTGGTTAACCAGCATAAAGCTTCAAAGCAAATAGAATAAGAGAGATTCTAGTTCCAGTTAGAAAGGAAGCATGTGACACAAACTAAAAATTGAGAAAAGAAATAGCATTTGAATATTACAAAAGGATTGTACCTGCGTCAACTGTCTGCTTTCATGGTTTCCACGCAGAAGGGTTATGTGGCCAGGATACCTAATGATAATCATGAAACTAAATAAATTGAAAAATAAATTTGTCGTGATACCAATCTATTTGAAAGCAAGTCCTCCTTTTGTTTTGGAATTGAAATAACTCTTCGAGTGCAAAGAAAATAAACTGGGTTCGAACAGAAATATTCAATGTTAACCATTGTCCAATATGGATTCAGCAAGTATGTTAATCCTGAGAAATTTTATTAAGCATAAAGCAATGGTTCCATTCTACAGCAAAGGAGTATCAAGTATAGCCCCCTGAACTTTCTAACTTCCCTTAGGTAGAAACAACCCTCCTAGCAACGTTACATATGAACTCCCATGTGCTGAATCAGTAATACAGCATACTACTGAATTTGACAGCAAGCTAAAACACCACTAGAATTTTACAAAGGTGCTGTTTGGGAAAAGGAGCAAATTAAACAGCACATCATAAAGTATGTTAATGAGACTCAAGTAGCATACATGATATCCCTAAATGTGCAGAGCAAGTACAGTCATTCAATTGCTCAAGCAGACATTCAATGCCATACCTAGCTTTTAGAAGCAGAAGAATGGTGAAGACCTCAAGGCTGTTGAACCCGCGGTCCACAAAGTCGCCCTGCAAGTCAACACAAACTCAGTTCTTGAATCAGCGGGAGGGTCAATCCGGCCTAAGACACCAAACCGACAGCAGGGCCAGAGACCATGAATATGTAGTTGGTGTCCGGGACATGGCCCCCGGTGGCGAAGAGCTTCATGAGGTCGTGGAACTGGCCGTGGATGTCGCCGCACACCGTCACGGGGCTGTTGACCGGCTGCACGTTCGACTCCTCGATGAGGATCTCCTTCACCTGAAATGATTTCATCACACACACACAAGAGCATCAGCCACTCTGCTCAGCTCACTGAACAGCAGCGTAGAGCCGCACCACTGGCCAGGCGGCGGCGCCGGACAGTAGCGAAACGCCGGAGGGGAAGCCGGCGGGGTTGGGGCACCGGAAGGGGGGAGAGGGACTGTACGTATTCGCAGAGGGACTGGAGCTCGTGCTCGGCGAGGTGCTGCCCCTCCTTGACCTTGACGATCCACAGATCCAAATCCATCTCGCCCGAGCGCTGGAATCCCCCGGCTACGGCCTCCCGTTCCTCACCGCTAGGGTTTCGGCGGATTGGGGATTGGATTTTGGTGGGAGCGACGATTTTGTTTTCGATCCAATCAAAGGAGGCGGCGAGAGAGGGGAAGGGAATGGGCTCGAGGACGAGGAGCATGAATTTTCAATTCCCCTTTGATTTTGGAATTTTTTTAAGCCTTGTAATCTTGGATAGGGATTTTCCCGTTGGCCCCACGTGTCAGGCCAGTCACTTCCTTCTTCATTTTTGCTTTTTCTTCAAATACCCATGTGATGTGATGAATTTCCTCACGTTGTGCAAGAAGAGTACAATGAGGATGATGACGATGATGAAGATGGTGAGTCGGTTGCCATGGCCTCCGTTGCCATTGCAACGACGTCACGGGTGTCTCTCTTCGACTCACCCAACGAGAGCATCACCGCCAAGTGCCTCATGGCTAAAGCCACCAACAAGGTAACCTCCAACATCAAAACTACCATCATTAATCATCCTTCCCCGACGGATAGCATTAATGAACTTGAGGGAGCTAATGTGAAGGCTAACGAGTTTAAGGCCTTTATGGGCAAACTCAAGGGAAAATCCAAGAAGCACTTTGTTGCTCTCTTGGAACAACTTGGTTAAGCCAATGACATGATCGAGGCTCACGAAGACACCATCTCTAAGATGGAAGGGCATAGTCGTGACTATGTCGATGAGATTTCGGATCTTTCCAATGCTCTTGAGGAAGAGCGTGGTCTTCGTTTGGCTCTTGAGGAGTCACACAATGTTGATCATGCTAAGTTAAAGACAGATTATGATCATGTCCTCATTGTTTCTCGT